ATTGTCATGTTCGAATGAATTTCTTGAAGAAAGCTTGCTAATTATTTGAATAAACCATTGACTGTTGTTCTTATAACCTTATTATTCAGCTGGTTGTTATGCGAAGTAGTATTTAAATCCAATGTCGAAACTAAACTGAAATAATTACCCCATATCTTAGGACGTATAAGACTGAAGTCCTGTATATGGGACTTAACCAAGAGATATGAGTGAATTGCAGTGATTTCTGAAAGATACTAGTAGTATGAAACACTTTAGGATCAGAAGAAAGCAATACTGTGCACCTAATCTACCATGTGAGTTGATCGTACAATGAACATACTACTTAATATAAAGTAAATAACATTATTTTCCTTCTGACAAATATATAATGAATAAGGTTAGTGGGAACCGCTAGCTCATATGAAAAATCATTCTAAATGATAGTTTTAGTGTAAACCAAGCATTAAGAAGCTATGGAGATAAACATATTGGTCACCTTATCTGAAAAATTCAGTAAGTCAGTAAACATGGTTAAGATAGTTTAAAACAGCTTAGGTTTTTACCGGTGAACCTGGATGGAAATGAATAGTTTTCAGCCAACAGTAGCAAGCAGTAATACATTCCAAACAGTGGTAGTTCATATATATATCAACTCATTTTCGCTGATTACTGAGACAGCTGAACTTCTAACGTTCAGACATATGTTTTTCTTTTTTCTGAGTCTCACTAGTGTTGAAATTTTTGTATTTTAAAGATTGAATTAAAAGTCTTATCGACAAATAGCATAGGAGAATATATCTGAATATGTAAGAGTAGGTAACATCAACACCATAAGAGAATCATAACGAGGTTATAGGCAAATTTTGCATAAAGTAGTTAAGTAATTTTCTTTTCCATGTAGTAAACTAAAAGGAAGACAGGCAGTGTTCCCTGATACATGTTCCCTAAGCTTATAGACGAATCACATTATATATTCAGTGGATTTACACACTAGAAGCTAGAGAATTTAAAGAGTAGAGAAAGATATGGATCATCAGTACCAGAAGGTAAAAAAAAGGCAAAAGGTTTCAGATTAAACATTCCATCAACTGAAGGTCATTTAACTGGAATATAAATAAATACACACAAAAATAAACAAACAAATACTACTCTGAATAACATGACAGCGAGTAAGTTACCGTTCAAGGTCAAACAAATATTCTAAGCAATAAACAGTCATGATGACGAACAGTCAGTCTATTTCCGGAAATAAGCAGCAGTAATAAAATTATGACATTTACTGTTCAAAGTTAATGTCTTCACCACCGATTTGTGTTTATATAGCTAGAAATATTAAAGCTTCGGAGTTAGTCAACTATACGTTTTTAATACCTATGTTATTATTTCACCACTCCCAGTTATACAGTAGATCAAAAACCAAATGAATTAATTTTCGAAATTATAAATTATTTCACAGCCGTTTAAAGTTTTTGGAGTTTCTAGAAATTAATTAAACAAACTTAGGCTATAAGTGAGGTTATATATTTAACTGAAACAATTTAGCACACAGATGATTTATAACTGCATATGACGTACTCAACAGTCCTCAACAAATTTAAGATGAAAACTGCCAATTTCTCAGCTCCTCATTTCGATTGAAGTCAACTAGAGAAAGTCTACCTAGCATTGCTGCCTAATGACTTCAGTTACTAAGTTTCATATAAGTACATTAAAATAAAAAGTAAGGGTATGAAGTAAAGAGAAATTTAAAAAAATTACCCAAAATTTGTAGAAATTCATAAGGATCAAGGCAGTAAAGCAAATACATAAATATGATACAACATTCAGGAAGAAGGTAATGCATGAATCCATATGTACCAATGAGAACAATTCTAAACCATGTAAGTCTCTAATCATCGATTTAGGTTATCAAATAGATAGTAACCTGGAGGTCTACATTTCTCTAAAAGGTTCAGATCAACATTTAAAGACTTTAATGAAATGATTCAACTTTTCCAGCCCACACCAAATCCAGTGCAATAGGGTATACGTTGACACGGCACACGCAATATTTTCCACTCACCTCAGCTGAAAAAGGTTTCAAATGTCATCATCTGACTTAACCCTGATATAGTGGAGAATATTTGTGGATGGTCTTGGTTGCATTGTGTTCCCTTAGCTGGGTCGCTTAATTATGAAGCTTTCATCATCCTTCTAGACGACATCATCAGCACTAACTTCAGTATGAAGTGAGCTGTCAATATCTCTCCGTGAGTGATTTAGTAGCTTGCCATGACGAAGCAGGCCATGATTGGTTGTTCCCTTTGATTGTTGTGTCATTGACTGTATAGATTTTCCTGCTGGCTGTCCCTCTGCTCGATCTCTGATATTTCTGTCGTTTATCATCTTCTTATTGGTTGACAGATTGGATCTATGTCTATACATCTGTTGATTGCTGACTGACCTGAATGCCAAGCTTTTAGGAATTCTCTGATATTTTTTGTGCTTCCTCTGTCCAAAATTTCTACATTGTCGAGATTGAATTCATGTCCATAATTATCCACATGCATTGAAATGAGTGATGAAATGTCGTGATGTTTAATAGCCAATTGGTGTTCATCTAGACGAAGACGAAGAGGGCGACCACTTTGTCTAATGTAGTGTTGACTACAGTAAATGATATTCGGTTTGTCCTCTTTGGTTGTCGCATCCTTTAGTCTGCATAATAGTGTTCGCAGGAAAGACGGCATCAGAAAAGCAGAGGAATTACTCAAAGACCAAAATGTATATCAACTACATGAAACCAACCCTATCCCGAAGCTCGACAAACAGATAAATAAACCTTGAACAAAGTCTTCAAAGCAGAAGAAATAACAAAGCAAGACAAGTAGAGGATGAAATGAATGGACCTGTCCTTTCTTGGTTCTACTGCAGACCGAAAATACATAAACCAGACATCCCTCTACGACCAACTGTCTCACTTCCAGGAACTCTAACATATCAACAGCAGTTTCGAGAAAACTGAAACACCTCGTTCAATCATGCGGATGTTCCATCAAATCACCAACGGAATTCTCAGAAAAGATCAAAAACATTAACATAGAGAAAGACGAAATAATGGTATCCTTCGATGTCACAGCACTATACACCCCTATCGAACCCCATTTGGCCAAGAAAACTACATCCATTCTGCTCAATGAAGATACAAGCCCTACAGAAAGCTCAAAACTTAAATGTTGAAGTCTGATGGAACTAATCGACCCTTGTCTGACAACATTCTTCCAATTCAACTGCAAGATATACAAACAGATGAAAGGAACTCCAATGGGATCACCGATATCCTGACCAATTGCAGAAGCAGTGATGCAGAGACTGGAAGCCATCATCCTACCTGTGATCAAACCAAAATTCTGAATTCGCTATATGGCCGACACTTTTGTCATCATTAAAAAAGATGATATAGAAAACATCCACAATTTGATCAACAACCTTTTCAGTGATATAAAATTCACAGTGGAGAAGAAGTCAAACAACCAACTACCATTCATGGATGTTCTGGTCAATAAAACAAATACGGGGAAGCTGGAAACCCAAGTGTACAGGAAGCCAACACACACTGACCAAGTCCGCAACTACAGTAGCAACAACCCACAAGATCAGTTGCATGCAGACTCTATTCAGAAGAGCGAGAACACAATGCAGTACAACAACTTCAAGGAGAAACGAAGAAAATTGCTTGATGTCCATCCTAAAGAAGAACGGCTACCCATGAAACTTAATCAGAAGATGCCTATCCCGTACATCACCAACTACAAAATCATCGACAGAAATCAACAAACGCATCGTCCTACCATACATAAAGAATATATCAGAAATCATGACAAGATTACTGAAACCACTTGGAATTGGTGTGGCTAATAAACTAACAAATTTCCTGCAAACACTATTATGCAGACCAAAGGATGCGACAACCAAAGAGGACAAACCGAATATCATTTACTTTTTTTTTTTTTTTTTTTGTAGTCAACACTACATTAGACAAAGTGGTCGCCCTCTTCGTCTTCGTCTAGATGAACACCAATTGGCTATTAAACATCACGACATTTCATCACTCATTTCAATGCATGTGGATAATTATGGACATGAATTCAATCTCGACAATGTAGAAATTTTGGACAGAGGAAGCACAAAAAATATCAGAGAATTCCTAAAAGCTTGGCATTCAGGTCAGTCAGCAATCAACAGATGTATAGACATAGATCCAATCTGTCAACCAATAAGAAAGATGATAAACGACAGAAATATCAGAGATCGAGCAGAGGGACAGCCAGCAGGAAAATCTATACAGTCAATGACAACAATCAAAGGGAACAACCAATCATGGCCTGCTTCGTCATGGCAAGCTACTAAATCACTCACGGAGAGATATTGACAGCTCACTTCATACTGAAGTTAGTGCTGATGATGTCGTCTAGAAGGATGATGAAAGCTTCATAATTAAGCGACCCAGCTCAGGGAACGCAACACAACCATGACTTATCTCTTTCAGTTAAGACTCAATACGTAACCTCTAAAATAATGATGTAGTGGTTCTACGACACAACCATTTATACAAATTCACTGTTGGTCAAGCACCAGAGGGCAAATCATTTTCTTCAATTATTTCAGTCATATTTCGCAGTCATTAGGTAAGATAGAACGAACTAAGTTAATTCATGTTGAACTAAACCACGAAATTACAGTGTTTTAAGCACTTTATAACGAAAAAATGAGATGAATATGAAAGACACACTGTGTGGAATACTACCATTTGGTGCTATTTTTTAATGTATAACTCAGGTGGTAAAATAAACCGTTAGCACAGCTTATAGTGAAAAAAGACTAATGAACTGACATGAAATATCAGAATTGCTATTGATGGAAGACTGAAAGGTAATGAAATTTTGCCTTGTAAAAAGGGTGGTGTTATTACTTTACAGATTTTCATCAATGGACTACTATTGATAAACTTCACATTCACAATTTTAGAACTGAGTTACTTAAAATGTAATCTGTCTAATAATATTCCTTATTATGGCGACTATCCAAGCGAAAGTTTGAAAATAATAAATAGCAATAACAATAGATTCAAATGTAAAACGGTTCTGATATAATAATAACAACAATGATAGTAATTAAACAGTAACTTACTTGACAAGTGGATGGAGACTTTACAATACTAAATTTATAGTTCGCATGATTTGAATTTCTACTATACACACTTGAGCAAGATGATTCATAACCGTTGGTGGGTTTAGTTCTAGAACAATAAGCATGTAATCGACTTCGCGTATCAATTCTACACATGGTGGGATCATTTTTTGTTTTTGTCCTTCTGTCACAAATATTATCATTATTAGTGGTAGTATTAGTTTTTGTTGTTATAGTAAAAGTGGTAGCAGTTGTAGCATTCAGTGAAACGTTCTGTGTTTTAAGTACTTGTGATTTAACTCTATGTTTGTTATCACAAATCGACTTAGGCGTGCAACTAAATGACCGCAGAACAGTACCTTTAAAGTTTATATTGTTTGAACTGTTGATTGATAAACGACTAGATAGGTTACCAGTGGAGGGAACTGAATGATTATTGTTACTGTTATCACAGTCAAAAAATGATGGATTTATGACGTCCCTTTCCTTCCCCAGAACATGATTAGCAATAGACTTTTTAGGTAGATTATCTTTTTTGTTACCACTAAATGAAAAAAACTGTTTCATACTGCTGTGCATTTTACGAATACGATGAAAATCAACAGATGTTGGTTGAATTCTTGCCCGGGAATTAGACAGACAAGGGTTAACATTTTCATTAGTCGGTGTAATATCTTCTGAAGGAGGAATATATATTGGACAAGGATATGGAGATAAAGTTGGAGGGTAGTCATAAACAGAATCATACATTATCATATTACTACTGATTTATTTTGTTTACTAGACTGCATATAATGTGAATTATTATGGTGGCAATAAGGGTATGGTGAAAATGCCTTACAACTGGCTTCCTCTATCGCAGAGGAAAAAAATACGAGTTTGATAGAAGTGTGGATTGTGATGATGAGTTAGTATTTGACTGGCAGGATGAAAAGATGCTGGTCTAGGTTTTCTATCCATTTGCAATCCAACTTGATGAGAATTCGATGAACATGCTGTTTCATGTGCTGAAGTAGACATTATCGAATCGAAATCGAAATTGTATTCACCAGGAAGATTTAATGATGCCCATAATGGGTTACCAGAATATTGATTTTCATGTTCACTACTGTGCCTATTTGTCCTAGCAGTATGAAAACCGGTGAAGAATGGTTGATAACTACTTGTGTTTGGTTTATTTCCAATTAAATTATTCCTCAAGTTGTTCGCATTATGAAATAATTCTTTATTTGATTGATCTGCAGATTTAGACCGTCTTTTAAAATGTCCAATAAACACAGTAAACCGTCTACTCCCTTTGTCTTGTTTATTCATACCATTTTGCGTGTTCAAAAATGATGCCTTTTCTTCATTTGCCATTAACGTTCTGGATTTATGAAGCATTGTTAAATTCAGCGAACTATGACAGTATTGACTACGTTGGAAGGAATACTTTCTAAAAAGTTATTCGTCTTCCAAAACGATTATTAACTTGAGCTCATTCTGAATTTGAAATGCTGAAAAAAGTGAATAGATGCAAATGACCTTCCTGACAAAGCAGTTAAAAAAAACAACTTAGTTTTATATTTAAGATAATATTAAACGCATATGGCATCTTTAAATCAAATGCCAGATATATAAAAAATGAGTTCAGAAGCTATGCAGCCCAAGTGTCGTGACAGCTTTTTCCCTGACTGAAAGCACCTAATATCGTGAATCGTAATCTCCGGATATGATAGTTTCCTTTAGCCTTTAAACGTGTTATCAAAAATGCAAGTCTGACCATGGAACTTTCTGCAAACAGACTCTGGAAGATCAACACACGTAGTACATATGTCAAGACTGGAAGGCCTCGGTTACTAATCATGTTTGAAGATCTTGAATAATTCAGTGCATAGTGAGTGTTGCAGCATATGTGTCAATCATCTACAAGAATTCGAAGTGTTTTTGACGAGTTAAAAACCACTATTTATGATTTTTTCCGAGCTGCTGGCATGAGAACAGAGAAAGGCAAAGGACTGAGTTACACGCAGCGTCAAAAAGACTTTTAAACTGACCGAAACATTGTGACAAAACAACAACAAACTCAACAAATTCACAGATATCTCTGAATAAAAAAAATACGTAGGTTTTATTCTTGCTATTGTAGTGAATTTATAGGTGTACAATCTAGATTAGTTTTCAATAATTTTATCATCCCAAGGTTTCTGATGGGTGGTTATTTTCTCTTTACACGCATGAAATTTGACTTTTGGATAATAACAATATTAGTGACGTGTTCTCATACAGCCAGCCTAAGTATTTCTACAGCCCTATTCCGCTAACATAAGATGACAAACTAAGTAGTGAATTTTGTCGCATATCAGACAGCTAAATAACATTAGCAGGTGTCGATGCATACCTTTGTTTAATAAGCAGAAAGTTGTGGTCACAAGATTCTTAAATCAATTGCTTTTCTTAGGAAACAAAACAGAAAGTTAAACTGCATCACCTTTTATTTTTTGTAGTAAACACTTTGCGTAAATACTATGGAGGCAATGAAACGTTTTGATGGTTGGAAATTAACCTACGTGTACTAATTTTGTAGCTGCATAATAACTCAATAAAAGTGAACCGACATCTAGATACTATGTTCATGTCGGTGACTAGTGTTTCAGCGTCTTATAAAAAAGCTTCACTGTTCTAGAATAAGTTAAAACCCTTAGGACGAAATTTAAGAACTTTCTAAATCATGCATGTATATACATACTACCAGTATAAAAGCAGCATTCTTACTAAAACGACTAACCAATACATAGTTGAGTCTACTCTTTCTAATTTATTTGGATGAAATACCTCAGAAAGCCAAGTAATTTAACCTTTGGTTTGCAGATAACGAAAAATAGTGCAGATTTAGGTAAGACAGTTTTGACAAGCTATACCTGAAAAGACATCAGTGGAATTGTTAAACGGACGGTCGTTAGAGGTTAAAACCCATAAGACATTAGCCATGTAGGTAGAATAAGTTGATCCATATGGCTACATGGTTACTAATATACGAATTTAAAATCCATTAAAAAAGCCGAAATATTACGATGACATCAAACCATTAGCATCCATTGCCGACACCACCTAAGCCTTATAATCTTTTTCGTAGTACTTTTTGAATTCATGAAACCTGGTTTATGTAGCGTCACAAACTTCTCCAGAATCAACAGCTTAGGATTTGACGAGATTCAACATTGATGCTAACCTCGCTAAGCTGAAGCCACACGGTCAAGTATCCGCGCCATTTGACATGCTGTCGTGTTACGTTGCACTGCTCGTAACCGACCCTCTAGCTAGTTAGTTGGAAAGCATCGGTATCTTGGCACGACCTTGCAAATATACTATTACATCCGATTACGCTATTGTGTTCTTCTTTGGTCCCACATTCATGGGTATATAACAAGTACGAATAATTAGTGACTGGCTTTTGGGTCTGTCAAGTTTCACCAGGACAATTCCTAAATTTGTAATATTCAACCCCAAAGTCAAGTCACTGTCACAAGTGTGAAAAAAGTTATTGCAGACTTGCTCAGAAGGCAAAGACGAAAATTGTCACTGACCTTTCCGGCGTTCAATACAAAAATTTAGTACATATTCCCGGTATTTTTCTGAAAACTAAAACTGGCTGACTTTAATAGCATCATTTTTAAAATAGCTCCCTATATGAATGCTGCTGAGCAAACCACCAAGTAAAAAAAGTTGACAATGGCACGAATAAAAACTGAACAATAACCATAGTACAGTTGTTTATAACGTCTAAACTGAGTAAGTTTGCATAACTTTCCAAAAATTCTATGAAACGAATCTACTAAAGTAACTCCTTAATCAAATTAGTTAGCTACTGGGAACTTCAAAGAAAAAACTGGCTGGTCTAATGCTTTCTTCACTGAAGTTCGCCTGACATTCAACCAAAGAAAGGAAAATGCTTCGCAAGATCTTAACCTTCACTGAGCCTGTAAGCACTGACTGCGCTAAAAATAAATAAATAGTCCATCAGCAACTATCAGCATATTGAGCCTCAGTGTCTGCTAAGACTGTCTATGGTAAACCTATGAAAGCTCAACTTCCACATCTGCATCATATCGAGCACTAGCAGTGATGATCAAGAGAAACCTAATTTACTCTCAGGTGTAATCAATGTACCTTACCACGCAGATCCAGTGTATCAGTTAGCATTTCGAAAATACATGACGACAGGGAAGTAAACTGTTTGTGAAATTGCCCCCATAAATTATACAACTAGTCATGTCACCTAGAATACACAAAGGGGAGCGTTATACAACTTCAGGTGCTGATTTACACCTCCATTGTTATCCTGTATGGTTGCAGAGGATAACAGCTAGAAACAGTAGGGGAATAAGAAAAGAACTCTGAGGCATGTCATTTACCGTCGGGAAGCAGCTAGATACACAGCCAATTCTGACTGCTACCTAGTGTAAGGATAACCTCTACGCCAACTAAGTCACCCATAAGCTGGTGCCCCTTATACATAATATCGTGATTCAACCTGTCAAAAACCCTTGAAAACTCAAGCAGACAAATATGAATAGGCTTCCTCTACTCAATAGAAGTTGTTTCCCAATTTCTGGGCTAGAAAGTTTGCTGCCTCGGAGTAGGTGTGGAGAATCTGCAAACTTGTAATACTAAGTGAACTAATAGTCTTCCATTCAATCATTAAACAACGGAAAACAACCAACGTCGTATAAGGTTATGGGTACTGAGGAAAACGTGACATAAACTTCTCAAAGTTTCAAATGCCAGTGAGTATTGCAGGGCCTTTAAAAACAATTTCAGCAGTGCCAGAATTATTAGCGAAGTGAATATATTAGTGCAGATCAGTAGTCTGGGAAAGACGTTGACAGATATTCCTACGAATCAGCACAGAGCTCAAACTTTACAAAAGTACCCAGTTAAGACGTTGAGGATAGAAAGTGCAATTCCATGGCTTGAGTCGAAACGGAACCCGAGATTTAAACACCACATTCGAAAAAATCATTATCGAATGGTTATTATTGGGAAATATTCATAACGCGCGTTCTGAATATTTTACATAAGTAATAAATCTCAAGTATGTTTGAGAACACTGGAAACAGTTTCAGCTAAAACATAAGTATAATACGCTATTGGAAAGCGGAACAGAAGTCAATATTCAATGATAACACAATTTGATGAATGAATCATAACTCACAAAGTTCCGTTGCCATCAATTTTCTGCCAAATTTAAGAGTACAACACTCATGATATGTTAAAACATAAAATCTGAGCTATTTGCGATTGTTGAAATATTTCAGAACAGTTAGTTCACGTGATCGAGATGAACTATTTCACTTGTGGGAATTACACTTTTTATCAATTAGGACGTACATTACTTACAGCTGCCTTTGAAAATAAGAAACGTAGTTTTAGATGATTTCATCCTGCAAGCCATAACGAAAGCTTTAAAATGAAGTCTGACAACGGGCTGTTCAGGCCTTAACGACTTTGAATGATATGTGATCTGTTCCCGTGGCCAATCCGTAAACACCTCGACTTCTGTCTGGAGGACGAAATTCTAGGACACCCGCTTTTCTTGACCAACCCATTTAAGACGATATTTTTCTTGAAGAGTACTGTCCCTAATACGGGATCCAGCCCCTGAAACTCTAGGTGTGTCTGCCGTGGGACCCGCTAGGTCTCAAGTTTCTTGTGAAATGTGGGTAGGCTTTGGCCGGATCCACTGCCTGAGACTCACATGTGGTACTACTGGGTACTTCCAGTACGGTCAACAGCACTATCCGCTTCCTGCAAAACACAGAAGCTTTTCTACGTGGTGGTGCGTCCTCCAGTAGTAGTACCTTATGTCCTGGTTGTATCATTGTGCCATGTGCTTTCTTGTAGAGCTTCTTCGCCAGCACAACTGGGAGGCCCAAGGAGAGACCGAAGGCTTAAGTGCCATTCTTGTATTTTGCCATCTGCAGTTTTTTACCTCTAACTGACGTTAGCGGGGATTCTTCTGGATGCTCGTCAACAGGAAGTTGTACTGCCGGCATCAATTTGGTGTTGTATCATGTCTATTCTTCTGGTTTCATCCGATTTAACTCAGACAGTCTTCAAAATTATTGATGACTTCTAACTGCCAAAGGCTATTGTTCACCGTCTGTTAGCAGCCCCTACATTCGGCTCATGGTGTCTTTGCTGGCAGTACGAATGCCCGTGTCACGCTTTTTCACCTTCTTTATCGATAAAAATGTACCTCATTGTTTTTCAAAATGGAGGACATTGCGTCTTCGGGTGATCAAAGAATCATGTGCCTCGAGAGATCCACACCCAGTAAACAGTGCCAAGAGGTTTGCTCGCAGATCAACGAAGAATGTTCAGATGACATGGTCCCTTACTTT